ATATATATATATATATATATATATATATATATATATATATATATATATATATATATATATATGCACACACACAACCACAAGAACAATTACCATAATCACTTCAGCGTCACTTTAAGCACCTAATCCTCTCCTTTCATGTTAAATCGCCTCGGACAGTCTCCATTAAATCCCAAAGGGTGATTCTTCGCGAGAAACTTTGAAAGTATCCTTAAAGTTTCTTCCTTAAATTCTGTATCCTTTTCCTCTTCTCTCGGGATCTCCTCAGCATCTTGTCCTCGTGTAATCTTTCCCTTCTTTCCGTTTCTCTCTTCTTCTCTTCTCTTTTCCTCTTTCGTATTTCTTTCTTCGTTTTTTTTCTATTGGTGTCTGGTCCATTGTGTGTGTCTTGATTTTTTTTCTTCGTGTTTGTTTCTTCTCCTATTCTTCTTCTCTCTCCTGTCTCTCCTTTACCTCCCTCTTCCCGTCTTCTCTTTCTCTCCTATCTCTCCCCCTTCTCCTCTTTCTTCTTACTCTCCTCCTCTACTGCCATCGCTTTTTTTTCTTCATCCTCCTTCTCCCCTCCTTTCTCTCCTGTCCCCGTTAACCTTTCTTTATTTTACTTCTCTCTATCTCCCTCCTTTCCTTTCTCTACTTTACTTCTCTCTCCTTATCTCACACACTCTTCCTTCCCTTCTCTCCCCTCCCTTCCTCTATCACCTTTATTTTCTCCTTTCTTCATCAATCTTTCTCTTTCTCACTCCTCCCCTTTACTTTTTTACTCTCCTCTCTTCTCTTTCCATATTTTCTCTCGCCCCCTTCCCTTCCTTTCCTATCCTTCCCTTCTTTCTCTCTTTATCGCCTCCATCACACTCTCCTCTCTTCCTTCCCTCACCCTTTCTTTCTCCATCTCCCGTCTTTCTTTCTTTCTATCACTTCTCTCCATTTCTCTTTCTCTCCCTGTCCCTTTTCCTTCTCTTCTCCCTCCTATCTCCTCACTTCTCTCAATTCCTCTTCAACCTCTCCTTTCTTTCGTCCTCTTCCATCTTTTCTTATCCTCTCCTTTTTCTCTCTCCTTATCCACTTCCCCCTCGCATTCTCCTCTCTTCCTTCCCTCACTTTTTCCTTTCTCCTTTCTCTCTAGCGCTTGTCTCCTTTCCTCCTTCTCTCCTCTCCCTCCTTTCCTTCTCTCCTCCCTTTTCCTCATCTCTCGCTCCCTTCCCATCCCACTCCCTTTCTCTCCTCCTTCTCCTCACTTCTCCCATTCCTCCTTCTCTCCTCTGCCCTTTTCCTCTCATTCTCCTCCCTTCCCATCCTCCCCTTCTCTCTCTCCTTATCACCCCATCTAAGAGCTTTGTCTCGGATCACCAGTGAAACTCCTAATTGAAAACACCCTCAATTGGCCTGCAACGGCTGAAGAGGGGAGGATGAGGGGAGACTGAGGGGAAGTGAGGGGAGGGGAAGGGAGGAAGGAGGGTGGAAGGAGGGTAGGGAGGAGAAAGGGGAGGAGGGGAAGGGAGGAAGGAGGGTAGGGAGGAGGGAAGGGAAGGAAGGAGGGTAGGGAGAGGGGAAGGGAGGAAGGAGGAAGAAGGGAGGAGGGGAAGTGAGGGAGGGGAAGGGAGGAAGGAGTGGAGGGAGGGCAGGGAAGGGAGGGGGAGGGGAAGGAGGAAAGAGGGTAGGGAGGATGGAGGTAGGGAGGAGGGAGGGAGGGGGAAGGGAAGGGAGGAGGGAGGGAGGAGGGGAGGGAGGAAGTGAGGGAGGAAGGGAGGAAGGAGGGAAGGAGGGGAGAGGAAGGGAGGAAGGAGGGTAGGGAGGAGGGGAAGTGAGGGGAGGGAGAGGGAGGAAGGAGGGGAAGGGAGGAAGGAGGGGAAGGGAGGGAGGAGGGGGGAGGGAGGGAAGGGAGGAAGGAGGAGAAGGGAGGAAGGAGGGGAGGGGGAGGGGAAGGGAGGAAGAAGAGGAGGGAGGGAGGGAAGGGAGGAGGAAAGGAAAGGAGGAGGAAGGGGAGGAAGGAATGTAGGGAGAGGGAAGGGAGGAAGGAGGAGAAGGGAGGGAGGGAAGGAGAAGGGGAAGGGAGGATGAAGTTGGAAGGAGGAAGGGAGGAGAATGAGAGAGGGGGAGGATGAAGGGAGGGAGAGGGAAGGAGGGAGGAGAAGGAGGAGGGGTTGGATACATGGCAGAAAAATGGTGGGAAGGAAAGGGAGGAAGAGGAAAAGAAAAGAAGGGAGAGGAAGGAGAGAAAGATGGAAGAGATAGAGAGGAAGGGAGGAGGAGAGGGAAGGAAAGGTGAGAAAGGAGAAGGAAGAGGGAGGATAGAGAGAGGAATGGAAGGGGGAGAAATAGAAGAGGAGAAAGAAAAGAAGAGAAGGGAAGAAACGGAAGGAAAAGAAAATCTGGAGAAAGGAAAGGAAACAAACAAAAACAACAAAAAACGAAGGAAGGAATAAAGAACACAAAGTAGGGGAAAAAAGGACATAAGAGACGGAAGAGAGAAAGAAAAGAGAGAAGGGGAAGAGTAGATGAGAGAAAGAGGGGAAAAGAGGGGACACGGGGAGGTCACGTGGCGATGTTATGCCTCGTGGAGATGAAAGTGAGATGATTGACCTGATGATCGCGAGATGAGGTTGGTGGCGGTGGGAGGGCGGGGTCAGGGGTCAGGGGGGGGGCGGGGGGGGGGGGGGGGGAAGGGGCGCGGGGTGAGGGGGGAGGGGGTCAGGGGGGTGAAATTAGACCTTGCGGGGAGATAAAGCGGTAAAGATGTATTTAACGAATTATTAAATAGAGTTTGGTCTTTAACGAATTTATATAGAGATAGGTTGATTTGAACGAATTGTTATATAAAGATGTTTTGATCTGAACGAATTTTTTAAAGAGATGGTTTGATTTTTATATAATATATAGACGTTTTGATTTTGCGATAATTATACTATATAATGATATACCATCATTTAATTCCCGGATATTTTCTATGATTTCCCAAATAGTTTTGGTAACAGAGAGAAGACAAAAAAAAAATATGATAATAGAAAATAAAGCGAGGAAGATAAAGTGCAAATGTGAATAAATATATTTCAAGGTAGATGCATGTGATATATACTTGTATATAGACTGAGTATATCTATGACTCTCTCTTCCCAACTCTCTCTTTCTCTCTTTCTCTCTCTCTCTCTCTCTCTCTCTCTCTCTCTCTCTCTCTCTCTCTCTCTCTCTCTCTCTCTCTCTCTCTCTCTCTCTCTCTCTCTCTCTCTTCTTTCTCTCTCTCTCTCTCTCTCTCTCTATCTATCTATTTATTCATCCAACCATCAATCCATCTACCTATCTATCTATCTTTTCAAATAAAACACAAGTATGTAAACTCTTTCTTTCTGTACAACCTACATATTTTGGGCTTCTATTCCCAATATCTAATTTAAATAATCTTCCATTTTTCATTAAAATATTTGCATACAGACTTTAGAGTATTTGTTGTATCATCAAACAAGGCGTAATTATAAGAAAGACAAGATGAGGATTTATTTATCATAGGTTTGGAAATCGTATGCAAAAATTGAATGATATCATAGTAATGCTAATATTACTGATACTAATATTGATATTTATACTAATATCGGTTTATTGGTGATATAAAAACTAATATCAGTACTAATAGTAATATAAACATATACTCATAGAACATACATGTATAGACGCATAGTATATATATATATATATATATATATATATATATATATATATATATATATATATGTGTGTGTGTGTGTGTGGTGTGTGTGTGTGTGTGTGTGTGGTGTGTGTGTGTGTGTGTGTGTGTGTGTGTGTGTGTGTATGTGTGTGTGTGTGTATGTGTGTGTGTGTGTGTGTGTGTGAGAGAGAGAGAGAGAGAGAGAGAGAGAGAGAGAGAGAGAGAGAGAGAGAGAGAGAGAGAGAGAGAGAGAGAGAGAAGAGAGAGAGAGAGAGAGAGTAGATTGATAGATAGAGACCGAGATAGATCGATAGATAAATATATAGATGAATAGACAGATAGATACAGACACGCACACGTGAAAGAAAGGAATGAGAAAGAGAGAATGAGAAAAAAACAAGGAGAAAATAAGCAAGAAAAAAATAGAGGAAATGAGAACGAATGAAGGAGAAAATAAGAAGAAAAAAAAGAAAGAACAAGATGAAAATAAGGAGAAAGGAAGGAGAAAAACAAGAAAAATAAGAAAAATGAGAAGAAATGAGAACGAATGAAGGAGAAAATAACGAAGAGAAAAGGATAAAGAAAGGAGATAGAAAGAAAGACAAAGAAAGGAGAAAAACACAAGGAGAAAATAAGGAAAAAGAAGAAAGAGAGAAAGAAAGTAGGAGAAAAAAGTAAGGTGAAAAACAAGAAGGAAGAAAGGAAAAAAGAAAGGAGAAAGAAAGAAAATAGAAAAACAAAAAGAAGGAAAGAAATAAAGAAAAAACAAGAAGAAAAAAAAAAAAAGAGAAAGACAGAAGGAAAAGAGGGGGGGGGGAGAAGCTGCACGAGCGAGAGGGCGGCGAGAGGCCTTATCCCCCCCCCCCCCATCCCCCATTCCGCCCCCTCCCACCCCACTCGACCGAAACAAAACAATCATCTGTCGGGTTGGAGGCAGCGCCTGGGAAAATTTGAATATGCAACGACCTGTTGTTAAATCACTACTCAGATGTACGTTATACACGGCACAAGAGAGGTCACGTGCCGTTACAGCCCTCCTTATATCCCCTCCCCCCCCTGGCCCCTCCCTCCCTCCCTCCTTAATCTACCCCTTTCACTCCCCCTCCTCCCCCTCCCTCCCTCTTCTACTCCTCCCCCTCTTCCCTCCTTCTATCCCCTCCCTACTCCCTCCCTCCTTCCCCCCCTCTCCTCTCCTCCTCCCCCCTCCCCCCCTCCTCATCTTCCCTCTCTCCCCTCCTCCCTCCTCCCTCTCGCCATTCTCTCCTCTTTCACTCCATCCTTCCGCCGTGTCTCTCATCTCATAAACCTAAAATGGGCTGGTAGATCACGCCCAATTTTCACCCTATTAGCCGGGCTGAGTTGGGTCCGAGCGCGCGCCCCCGCCTGCAAATGGGGATACGGTTTTCTGCCAGTTGTCATAATGGAAGCAATTGTCACTCCTCAATGCGCGCACGAGGGCCCGGCGTTTAATAAAGATGGGAGTTCCCTATGGAGAGGCGGGAGATTTGAAATTTATACGGTTCTCAGCGCCGTGTGGAGAGGACTTCCCTCCGAGGAGCCATTAAGTATCTCCTCTCTTCCTCTCTCCCTCTCTCTCTCTCCTCTCTCCCTCCTCCCTCTCTCCCTCTCTCCCCCTCCTTGCGCTGCGTCGCCGTCGTTTTCACGCCAGAATCGTCCATTAAGCCTTTTTTGGGGGTTTTACGACATTCCCATCGCCAACCCTCCGCGTCCATTGGAGAAACCTGTCTTATCTTTGTGATTCTTGGACGGACCGCATCTCACCCCAAGCCCCTGCGTAATATATTCGTTAATCCCAGGAAGCACCGAGCCAAACAAGACCTAATCACGCCGAAATTAAACCATTAAAGCCGACAAAACGCGAGATAAACACGTAGCGCCGTTCGCTTCCCCATCGGCGCGCGCGGGAACCGGTTGGTCACGTGACCCCCGCTGGCCATCTGGCGGTCAGAGACGAAACGTGGGAAACTCTTTTTAGGCCCAGATGGAAATTGCACCATTAACCTATCGCATATTTTCTCTTTATCCATCTCTCTCTTTTATGACAACCGCGCTTTAAAAATGCATAAGCAAATCCCAGGTCACGTCCGAACGTTAAAAGAAAAAAAGGAATTTAAAAAACACCGCCGCATCAAGTTAATATTTCTGCCCGGAATGAGAAGTCGAGGGTCTGCCCCCTGGCGAGCTATTGGCTGATGAACCTCCCGAGCCGACAGAAAACAATGGCGCCCGGGGAATTATCCTAAGGGTCTAGGGTAAATATTCATCAATGTAAATCTCGCCCTTAATACCAGTTATTGAATTGCACTGCCTTGATCCAGCCCCCGTGGACTATCCGCGACCGCCTGGGGCCAAACTTGAGGACGGGCGCCGCTGCCGTTCGCCACACGATATTAAACGCTCTTTAAAACCTCGACATTTGGTAATATCAGACCAAGATTATGCAATAGTGAGCCTTTTTAATCAATATATTTTTTTTCCTTGGCGGTTCCCTCGATATTCTTGCCGCCGCAGTTGCTAATAGATAATAAATAGACTGCGTTAACGAGCCTGTGGAATAGACAGTATACTTCTTCATTCTGTATATATAAGAAAAGATAATTCAAATTGAATTAAAGTTACAAACCCTAGTGTATTGATTACCGTACTGCTTTTTTTTCGTTTATAAGATCTTTTTAACATTTTTTCTTCCTGTCTTCCGGAAATTTCTATTATTATCGTCAATGTCCTTACCGGGCAATACTATGACTATAAAATCCAATAGTATTGCTATAAATTTCTGGCATTACGGTGAACTCAGTGCCATGTCCTTTTAACCCTTTCCTCTTTTTATTGACAAACGCATTCAATAACTTTAGCATTGCTATTTACCTTCTCATGCTATTTATTGGCAATTTCGTACTAGCCTTTAGTCTGATTTCCATTTATTGCTTTTCTCTCTTCGTTTGGCCTCATTCTCTTTCTCTCTTCTCTTTTTTCTGTCTCTCTTTCTGTCTGTCTCAGTCTCTCTCTCTCTCTCTCTCTCTCTCTCTCTCTCTCTCTCTCTCTCTCTCTCTCTCTCTCTCTCTCTCTCTCTCTCTCTCTCTCTCTCTCTCTCTCTCTCTCTCACTCACTCACTCACTCACTCACTCTCTCTCTCTCAATCTTTCTACCTACCTTTCTTTCTCACTGTCTGCCTCTATCTCTCATTCACTCATTCTCTCTCTGTTTATTTGTCTCTCACTATCTCTGTCTATTCATCTATCCATCTGTTCATATATCTGCCTGTCTTTCTGTCTATATATACTTCCTTTATCTCTCCTCTTTCTTCCTCCTTTATCCCTCTTTTCATTATTCTCATCTCCCTCCTTCTCCCCCCATTCTCCCTCTTTTAAAATCCGCCCCCTCATCCCCACCCCCTCCATCACCTCCCACACATGCCCTCATCCCCCCTCCCCCCCGTCTCCCTCTCGCCCTCACCTGCCCGCCCCTCTCGCCCTCGCTCCCTCTCGCCCTCACCTCTCCCGCCCCCTCATCCGCCGCCCCCTCATCCCCGCCCCCTCTCTCATTCCTCATCCCTCATCCCACCTGCCTCCGACCCGCTGGTCTCTCTCTCTCACTCTATCCCCTCTTTTCCCCTCTCTCTTTCTCTCTCTTTCTATGCCCCCAGCCGATTCCCGCACATATGCGTGGGTGTTGTTATACTCATTCTCTGTCTATCCGTCTGTCTATTTGTCTGTCTGTTTGTCTGCTTGTCTCTTTCCGCTCCTCTCTCACTCTCTCTCTCTCTCTCTCTCTCTCTCTTCTCTCTCTCTCTCTCTCTCTCTCTCTCTCTCTCTCTCTGTCTATCTCTCTCTCTCTCCCCTCTCTTCTGAGTACCCTCCCTCTCCCTCTCTATTTATTCTATCTATGTATCTATCCATCTATCTACATATCCATATCTATGTATCTCTCTCTCTCTCTTTTCTGTCACTCTCCCACCCTCTCCTCTCTCTTTTTCCCTCCCTCCCCCCTCCCTCTCTCTCTCTCTCCCTCTCCTTCCTCCCTCCCTCCCCTCTCTCCCTCCCTCATTCCCTCTCCCTCTCTCTTTTTCCCTCCCTCCCCTCCCTCCCTCTCCTCTCCCCCTTCGCCCCCTCCCCTTCTCTCTTTTTCCTCCTCCCTCCCTTCCTCTCCCTCTCTCCCTTCTCTTTCCCTTTCCCTCCCTCCCTCCCCCTCCCCCTCTCCCTTCCCTCCCTCCCTCATCCCTCCCTCCCTCCCCCTCCCTCTCTCCCACCATCTCCCCCTCCCTCCC